TCTAAAAATAGATGGTGATAGGTGAGATGAGACTTGCTTATCATATTACTAGTTGCACTACGTTTTTTGTTAAACGCCTACATGGAATGAAGTTATGCGAGGTGACACCGGTATTGTGTCAACCAAAGCCTTTCCAATATTTTAGTCAATTATGTTAAACATTTCAATAATAAAAATTAATTATTACGCAAATATGTGTGATTATAATTCTATATATATATTGCTACGAATGAATGTCTTTCCATGAGAACTCATCTTCAAATGAATTTGAATGGATGTCTTTTACACATTTTAAAAAAAATAAGTGCAATTTCATGTATTTGTGTCTTGATATGGAAATTAGTCTCTTGAAAATATATTTTTTCATGAAAATATGTCTATTAGTGAAAAGGTGTCTTTGCATCTCTTCATTATCTATAAATAAAAATGCATTCATCAAATTTCTAATAGACCAAAACATGTATATTCTTCCTCCCAAAACTCCCGTACTTTCTTGTGGCATTATTCTTCTTCTTTCATTCAAGTTCGGGCTATTAGGTTGCCTAAATCTTTCAAATAGTAACATATGAATCTCGATATCCATTGTATCTTGGAGACAATTTGTCTTCTAGGGTTTTTTTTTGCATTTGCAATACTTATTAAAATGGTGACAAACTCGTCTTAAAGATAGTGAATACATTTGTATTGTGGGGATTTAGGTTTTCTCTATTATATTTCACTCAATAATAGATCACTCACATTGTATGGGTAAAAGGAGTCCCACTTAAATTCATATTGTATGCATGATCTATTATTGAGTGAAGTTAAATAAAATTGTAATATAGAATTTCAATTTTGTATTTAGTGATTTTTACTATTATTAGTCAAATTAGGAGAACGTCTACGAGAAGCTATTAGTTGTAGCCCCTTTTCCGAGCTGCAACCATTCTTTGATCCTTATGTGAGACCTTTGGTCATACTTTTCAATGATCTTAGTTTAGAGTTCTAAGAGATCATGAGAGATCACGAGGCAACAAGAATTTCGAAGGTTAGGGTCTCCCAACGCAATTCAATTTGTAACCAAATAGAAGAAGTCTCCCTAAATTGATATATAAAAAGTAATTTTTATCTAATCAATTTAATTCTCGATTGTTAAGTGATCGTGATAAAAAAAAGGAATTCTACATCACAAGGCAAGACATTGTCACAACGTGGTTACGTTAAAACCAAATAATGAGAGGGAAAAAGAAAAAAAAATTTAAAAATAATATTTGTAGATCTATGCTTATTAACTAAAATATAAATATTATTTATTATATTAATTGACACATCATTTAATTTTTTTTTATATTTTATTATTTGGTTAGTGTAGGATTACCCAACTTATAATGGCAAAAACCTTACAAGTATGGTGCTTTAATTGATAATATGGTGGTTCTAAACATTGCATAGGTTAAAGGAACAGTGGAAGTTCGATATTAGGTCACATCAACGTTAATTAAACTTAATCACTTTTGGCTTTTGGTGCCAGTGCCACCCAAATATGACATATTATTCAAAAAAGCACAAATTTTCAAGTCCATATGGTCTTGATTTTGTTATTTTGTGTACCCCAAAGTCTTTCATGAAGATATGGGGATTTGGATTCTTTCAATTTTAAAAGTTACTCAATATTTTCCTCCATTTCAATCACCCACATTAGTAGTGGAATCCATGAGTTATAAGTTAAAGTAATTTAAAGTCTCAACCAGACTGAAAGACTCTGATTCGCTAGAAACTATAATATAATAATTAATTCTTAGTTGGCATAATCCTTCGTTTAAATCACTATCAATTTGGGGATAATCAAGAAGAGACAAAACGTGCATCAACCATATTGAGTTATATATTTTGGAAGCCATATGCTTCAATTGAGACTAAGATATTTGCACAGGTAAAAACATAAAACAACCTTCTTAGGCTCTTTACTCATAGGATTAAATTTAAGATGTTAGTCACTGGTTCAAATGACACATGCTAAAGTTTTTGATCATAAAAATAAATAAATAATTATAAATGACTTAGACCATTTGTTTGATTTTTTAATTTTATTCTAATAGATAATATGATTGTATAATAATTATAATTTTTTAAGAAAAAATTAGATTTTTATTTTTAATTTTATTTTAATAAATGATACAATATAACATAAATTTTAGCTGTAAAATTTAAAATATTTGATATTCTATTTTTAATTTAAATTTTTTTAGTTTAAGTATAACATTTTAAACTTAAAGAGTTTAAGTATTATACGCATATAAGCTTCAGGGAATCGGGATATAAATTACTAACATATATACTAAGAAGATCGAGGTAGGGATGACAATGGAATGGGTAAAAATTGGTATTCATCCAAACCAATCCCGTTTGGACCGGGGATGGACCATACGTATTGAACGATATACGTATATGAAGATACCCATATAAAACCGTACGGGGATGAAGGCGGAGATGGGCTGACACTTATCCCCTCCTCGCCCCTCCCACTCCGCTTTACTCATTATTTTTATTATATATACATGTTGTTATGAATACAAATCTACATATTATTGAAAGATTTTTTCTTTTGAATTTTTTTTTTGACTTTTTTTTTTTTCATGTTTTTGACTTGTTAAAATGTAGATCTTTGTGTTTTTGTATTTTTTTTATGTTGGATTATATTATATTGCATTATATTATGTTGGATTATATTATATTGCATTATATTATGTTGGATTTGCACGGGAGATGAGATTTTAATTATATTATGTTGAATTATGTTGTAAATGACAAATTTTTAATTATGTTATAATATTCTATAATTATGTTGAATTATTCAAAATGTTAAATTTATTTATAATTTTAGATTAAGTTGGCTTGGATTTAGGTGGGTAAGGTGGACGAGGGGCGGAGATTATAAATTTATCTACAGACGGAGATGAGGATGAAAAATATATCTGTTAACGAGGGTGGATAGAGGATGCGCAAAATTTTTTTAAGCGGGTACGAGGATAGAGACTATATCCCCCGCCCCTACTTCGGTTCACTGTCTTTCCTAAGTAGGGGTTAAAATATTATATGTGTATAAATTTCAGGGATTTATATAAAATATTTTAAATGTCACAAAATCTGGATGTTTAAGTGAAATCTGAGGGTCCGGTTATAATTATCCAAAAAAAAACAAAAAAGGCAAGAAGTCTGGTTATCGATAGTTCTTATTGGCCGCACTGACAGAAGAGGAAAGTGAGAGTTGTTTCGATTGCATCAACTCCTTCTACCGGTCACTACCACTTTCTCTCTCTTCTTTATCTCACCACTGTCATCAACTCCACCTCCACTTCCGCTTCCACTCACACTTACACTCAACCACATCTTTAGCTCAGCTCTAGAGGAAAAAAAACAATAGTTGGAGAGAAAATAGGTAGACATATGTATATAACCATACTGATTGAGAAAGAGTGGTTTTGTGCTCTGTATTTTGTTCTTTTGTGTTATATTATATATTCTCTTTTTAACTGGTGATAGTTAAAATTATCCTCTTCTCTCGATATGGGCAATTTTGATTTTTGAGGTCGTACAAATGTTATTATGCGCTACACATACAGTGTTTTGTGTTGTAAACATAGGTTAAAAGCTTCACTACTGTTGCTTCCTTAGGATTTATGGTGGGGAATTGAAGCAGAATCTGCTGTTAGTTCTCATTGGTTCTCTGTTTTTCTCTGTTCTGGGTCTCTGAATCTGCTTAATACCAGAGTAATTTTAGTTGTAGTCAAGCTATACATACATATACATACATATATATATATATATTCACATGCTTGTGGTGATTTGGACGAAGATCTGTTAGAAGTATTTAAAGTCTTGATTGATGCATGTTTTGTGAATGAAGAAAAGCCAAGGAGAGATGTATGAGATTCTTCTGTTCTTGTGCTTTATATTGGTTTTCTGTTTGATCTGATAAGAATACAGAGTTTCTCTTTCTTCAACTTTCTTGATTACTAGAAAATCAATGGACTCAGATTTCCCTCATCATCATCAGCAGCAACAACAACAGATGAATTCTAGTTTGACGCGGTATAAATCCGCCCCAAGTTCCTATTTTGCAAATCTGGTGAATAAAGGTGGCTATGGAGGAGAAGATTTGGAACAGTTGTTGAATCCTCGGGCTACTATTCCTGAAACGGAGCGAAATTTCCCAAGATTTGTGTCTGAAACTGGTTCAGAAAACTCAAACTCTCATATGTATGGTATCGGACAAAATTCCTCATCAAATGGACCGGCTCAATCACAAATTGTGGCGCCATTGAAGCGCGAAACAGAGTTTCATCATCATCAGCAGCAACAACCACAACAACAGCAGAGCAATAATTATGCTTCAGGTTCTCGGATGATTTATCAGAGCCAATCTCAAGCGCATCATGACTCAGAGGCCTCCAATTCGGGTATTGATAACTCGTATAGATTGCCTAGTTCGCTGGCCATGGATGGTTTGCCTTATATGAAGATGGGTGGTGGAAGTAACTCAAATCTTATTCGTCATAGCAGCTCACCTGCTGGATTATTCTCCCACATCAATGTTGAAAATGGTATCCTTTTTAGCAACCTGATCCCATGTTTCTTTTGGTTCTTCTAATCCATGTTTTGAGGTTAGAAAAAATATTGCATGTATTGTTGCTTAGAGACTTACGACTTAAAGAGTCAAATTCTAGTTGATTATTGCATTTCCTGGTAGATCAAGTATAGGTAGGGCTAATGATTACCCATTTCATTTTTGTTCATATGATGTGTGTTATGTGAACTTTGTTTTTACTTCAAATAAGCAAGTTGCTTGATAATTGTAATGGATGTGAGGACAAGACATAGAGGCATAGATGTAAACATAGGGGAGAGAGTAAGTTGCTTGGAGTGTATTTTCAACGGCACCACATAAATGAAATAAAAAATAAACCAGAGTAAAAATTTTATATGTGACCATAGGTTCTTGGACTTAATTTGGGGCTAAATTCCATGTGTTTCGAATATGACATGAATTGGAGGATGTTGCTAAAAATGTTTTAGCAATTTGCAGGCTATGGTTTAGTGAGAGGCATGGGGAGTTTTGGACCTGGTGATAATACTAATGCCGAAGCATCATTTTCCTCTACAAGCAGGTTGAAGGGTCAAATGGATATCTCATCAGGGCTGCCTTCATCTTCAGGGCTAATGTCTCATACCTCTGAGATTGGGAGCAAAAACATGGTAGAGATACTAGAGAATAGTCCTGGAGATGGAAATTTTGGTGAAGGCCGGAAAAACCATGGTGGTTACATTACAGGTTTCCCAATTACTTCTTGGGATGATTCAGCAATTTTGTCTGATGACTTCCTGAAAGGGGTTGGCGATAATGACAGAAAGGTTTTTTGTAATTTGAATGCTTCAGAAAATCAGGTATAATTTTTTTAATCCAATGTTGTTTTGATTTCTAATCATGTCTGGTGACTATTAATCTGATCATAGGTCTTCATTGTGATTAGAATGGCCAAGGTGAAAATCAATCTCCCACTATGTTGTCTCGTCACTTGAGTTTGCCAACAAGTTCAGCAGAGATGGAAAAGCTACTGCAGCTTCAAGATTCTATACCTTGTAAGATAAGAGCCAAGAGGGGTTGTGCAACTCATCCAAGGAGTATTGCCGAGAGGGTAAATCATTCTAAGTCCTAAACATCTCATGTGCTGACCATTGGCTGCCCTCGCCTTACTTAAAAAATACTTGTTTATTTTTTTCCTGGTAAAAAAGCCACATGGTTGGAGTTTGCATTGCATTAATGAATGCGTGTGATTTAAATAATATTTTGAAAACATCTGCACCCTGCAATTAATGTTTCAGGTGAGAAGAACCCGAATTAGTGAAAGGATGAGGAAACTACAAGAACTTGTCCCCAATATGGACAAGGTAAAGTCCTGATTTCTATCTCTTCTTTATATGTATTTGCAAGCTCAGCAATTTTGTTTGTTCCTTTATATTTGCAGCAAACAAATACGTCAGACATGTTGGATTTAGCTGTTAACTACATTAAAGGCCTTCAGAAACAAGTCCAAGTAAACATTACGATGCATAATTTATGAAGGATTCGAATCTAAACCGAAAAAGCCTTTGAAATATCTCTATTTGTTCTAAAATCTATTCATGTTTGAATTTTTGCAGACCCTATCAGATAATCGAGCAAAGTGTACATGTCCAGATAAGGAGAAACCATAGCCTAGAAGGCCCAAGTATGCTATGGTTTGTTTCTGTACAGGAAAAAGGAAATATAAGTAGTTGGATCCACTTTGGTTCTGAAATCAAGAAGAGTGAGTGGATTAGTATTTTGTGTCAAGGGAAATACAGAAATGCCACGTTAGTTTTTTCTTAAATGGAAGTTGTATATTATTAATTTTCAAATGTATTTAACTTGTGTTTTTGATATATAGATCAACCACCATTAGTTACATAGCTCAACCAACTACAGCAATTTCAATTAGCCGTTTTCTGCTCTTCATTAGCCATTTCAACTAGGAACAAATATTTTTGAAACAGTTAATGAATCATAAGTCGTAATTCTCTTCGAAATCAGTCCTCGGCCTCATGACACTTTGCAGACCTCCTTATTAGCAGAAAATATTTAATGTAAAAATTATAGGGCAATAATGGCACGAGATCACTTCACATTTAATATTTACTCCCTTATAATTGAGTCTTCTGTTTTTCTCAAGTCAGTTTCGTATGTTTTAACTCGTCATTTCAATAACGATCCAATGCATTGCATCTGCCTTTTGGTCAGAGATGCATGTCTTGTGCCGTGTCCTGTCGTCTAAATTCACGTGTCTTAATCTACAATGTTGACACCACGGCTAAAACAATGTTTAACATTGGGGTAAAATGCTTATTTACAATGTTGACACCTCAGCTAAAGCAACGTCTAACATTGGGGTAAAATGCTTATCTACAATGTTGACATCTCGGCTAAAGCAACTTTTAAAAAAAAATTCATTTGCAATTCATGAATCATTCCTGGAATTAGGCATGTGAATCGTATCAAGTAAGACGAGTTCATGTCGGATTTTAACAAGTTCATGTTAAAAAATATTTCATTCATAATCGATTCATTTATTAATTCGTATCTAACGAATCACGTGTAATCATTATACAAACGAGTTTTTTTTATATTTAATAAAACGAGTAACTAAAGAAAAATTTAAACTTTTTATTATTATATCATATTAATAAGTTTTGCTGAAAAAATACTTATATTTGGCTGCATCTCCAGTAGTGAGTGCCACGTCATGGATGACGGACTCATGCCCTTCCTTGTCCTCTAACTTTTCTCTGGTTGCGTCAAAGGGCACAATTCCTTCTGGCTTTGTGGCAGTGAGGGCACATTATGGCAATGGATTGTCTTGTAGTGCCTCCATGTACCTTTTAATTGAGATGTGACTGTGAGTACTTTCTCAGCCACGGGAAGCATCTCTGATTGTTCGCTTGTCGTGTGAGAGAAGGAGTCCTTGGCTTCGAGTCTGGAACCAAAGCAACCCCCTTTACAAAAACAAAAACACTAAAGAATCCCAACAAAGATAGCCAAATAGGATTTCATGCAAGTGTAATCTGACTTTTAATAAAATTAATTTAGTATAGGTTAGTATTTTTTACCAATAATATAAATTCGAGACTGACATCCTAAATTCAAGTTCAATGTTTTAATATATGATTTGATTTTGATTCAATCTAAATAAGATCTATATCTTTAAAACTTTAAGATGAAATTGAAATAAAATTTAACTTAATTAAGTTATTCGGAGTGGTTTTTTGTTTTCAAAAGATATGAATTTAAACTGCAAAAATAAATCCATTCGGTTGTAAAATGAGATTTGAATTTAAATTGGATTTTGGCGGATACAAATTCAAGGGCTCTACTATGAAAACTTAGGCATGTGAATAGCCACCGGGCTTGCTACGGACTCAATTTTAGCCCAGTCTCACTTGAACTCAAACTAAGTTTTATTTTGTTGGAATTTGGACTTAATTAAGTTAAACTACATTAAAGAAATTTATTTGGTATTAAGTGTATTTTTTTAGAAAAAGACCATTCATTGTTGTCTCCCTTACTCTCTCTTCCCTATTGTTTTTCTATCTCTCTCTTCATTACTTTTTCTATATACTAGAGATGACAGTTGACCAAAGGAGGGGGCGGGGAATGTAATCTCTATTTTTTTACCCGTTTAAAAAAATTTCGTCCATTTTCGGTCCACCCCTGTTAAAGGGTATAGTTTTCATCTTCATATTTGTCCGCGAGTAAATTTGTAATCCCCACCCTATCCTTGCCTTCACCTCAAGCCCAAGTCCAAGTCCAAGCCCAACATAATTCAACATTGTAAATAATCCAAAAAATAAAAAAAATTGCATGTCACCAATTGAAAATTATAACATAATTTTTCTCATTAATAAGGACTAGCATTTGGTGAAGTGAGCAGGCAAGAAGTCTATTCAATACTTTTCAAGTAAAAAGTCTATTTAACAATTTTCAAAGAGCAACAACCATATCCAAGTAGCATAAACTCAAAAATCAGCTAAAAAACATATCTAACACTATAATCAGAATTCAACAAAGACTATATTCAAGTAGCATAAAATCAGAAATTTAGAATATTGCATATCTAATACAGAAAATCAGATGTAGCACTGAAAAATTATAGAATTAACACAAAAAAAAAAAACAAAAATAGAACAAGCAATATCTAAAAATCTTGTATCTAACACACCATAGATCCGAAATAAAAGCCCTCAATAGCTAATACAACACAGACACTTAGATTTAATAAAATACATCAAAAATCTAACAAAAAATATCACATATCTAATGAAAACCATCAAAAAGATCACAAATGTAATAGATCTTACTTTTTTAGACAAAGAAAAAGAAGTGGGCTACTAAATTTTAAAATTAACTTTATTGGTGGTTGGGAATGAGATTGGGGTTTATATATACATATATATATAGGTTAGCGGGGGTGGAGTGGGGGTAAGTGTTAGTCCATCCCCGTTTTCATCCCTATGCGGATTTATATGAGTATTCTAGTATATGTCTATCGTCCAATGCGTATGGTCTATCGTCAATCCAACTGGAGCAGATTTGGACTAATACCCATTTTCCCCGGTCCACAGTCATCTCTATATATATCCCCTATTTTCTCTCTCCCTCTTTCTCTCTCTACTCCATTGATAATTTTTTTTTGAAATATGTAAAGATTTGATTTGATTTGTTTATCTCTCTTTCCCCTATTTTCGCTCTCTCCTTATATCAACGTTACAATAATATAATTACATCAATTAGTTGTAATTATCTTATAATACACCAAATAGTTACTCATGTGTTCTAATAAACTAAACAGTTATGCCAAATAATTATACAAAATTACAATACCAACTCAATTTGTCATTCAGTTATTTACATAATACATATTTTGGTATCGCGAAATGGTTACACCAATTATATAAACCAAATTAGGCTTATTATTACACAAAAGAGTTTATATTACACCAAATTTGATGCATATAATTGGTGTAACCATGTCGTTATACTAAATGGTGCAACACATGTTGGCCCAACAACCAATCTAGGAGGGGAGTGAATTAATTTTTCTAATTGTTACCCAATTTAAAATCTCAATTTTCACTATTTGTGAAATTGATAAATATAGATTACTAGATGTTGGTTAGATAGTAAGAGAGTGACAGTGTGTGAATAAACAATAAACGCAAATCAAAGTAAAGAGATAAGAAGAAAGCAAATACAAGGATGTATAGAAGTTGACCCCAACTCTTGGCCAACATCCTCTCTTCCATCTCCCCTTAGAGATTCCTTTTTTTCTCTTTCACTTGAACTCTTCAATGGGTGAGATCAAAACCCTTATACTTTTTTTCCTTGAGTACAAGATGGTATTCGTCATCATAGTATATAACTCAAGAAGAGAGATTTTGACCAAAGGTAGCCCCTATGAAATCTTTATTTCCAAACTCAGTCAGTTTTAAACTTATTTTTCAAACATAGTCTTTTCCTAAAAACATCATTTTAAAATTAACACTTCTTAGGTGAAAATGTCATTTATCGTTTGAATTAGTTAAAATTAAATCTAAATTCTTTCATTTGAGAAAAAAAAATTCATATGCAATTCATGAATCATTCCTAGAATTAAGCCTGCGAGTCGTGTCATATGAGACGAGTTCATGTTGGATTTTAACAAGTTCATGTTAGAAAGTACTTCACTCATACTTGATTCATTTATTAATTCATGTCTAACGAATAGTATGTAATTAGTATAGAAACGAGTCGTTTCGTACATATATATTTTTTTGATTAGTTGTAGTCATGTCCAATTCGTTTATTATTCGTATCGTATTAGTTCTACTCATTTAACAAAACGAGTAACTAAAAAAAAACTTAAACTCTCTATTATTATATCGTATTTTTATTGTGTTAACGAATCGAATTATATTTTAACGAAAAATACTTTTATTTGGCTGCGTCTCTAGTAGTGAGTGCCAGGTCATAGATGGCGGAATCATGCCCTTCCTTGTCCACTAACTTTTGTTTAGTTGAACCTTCCGTAACTTTTGTTTAGTTGCGTCAGAAGGCACAATTCCTTCTGGCTTTGAGGTAGTGAGGGCACATTATGGCAATGGATTGTTATGTAGGGCTTCCATGTACCTTTTAAGTGAGAAGTAATTGTGAGTACTTTCTCAGCCGTACAAAGCATCTCTGATTGTGGACATGTGCGTGTGAGAGAGGGAGCCTTTGACTTTGAGTTTGGAACCAAAGCCACCCCTTTTTACAAAAAAAAAATCACCAAATAAAGCAAGTCAAATCCCAACAAAGTTAGCCTAATAGGATTTCATGTAAGTGTAATCTGATTTTTAATAAAAATAATTGAATATAGGTCGGTATTTTTGACCAATAATATAAATCTAAGGCCGACATCCTAAATTCGAGTTCAATGTTTTAATATATGATTTGATTTTGATTCAATCTAAATAAGATCTATATGTTTACATGTGAATAGCCACCGAGCTTGCTTTGGACTCAATTTTAGCTCAGCCTCTCATAAGGTAATTTTAGCCTAGTCTCACTTGAACCAAAACTAAGTTTTTTTCAGGAAATTTAGAAGTCAGTACAAAAATTTAGACTTAATTAAGGTAAACTATATTAAGGAAACTTATTTGGTTCTAAGTGCATTTTTTTGAAAAAAGACTAAAAAATCACTCATTACTCCATCACTCTCCCTCTCTTCCCTATTTTTTTTCTCTCTCTCCTCTCCCCTCCATTGATAATTTTTTTTAATATGTAAAGATTTAATTTAATTTTTTCATCTTTATCTCTTCGATTTTCTCTCTCTCATTATATCAAGGTTACAACAATACAATTACACCAATCAGTTACACAAATTAG